GCACAAAAATATACACACACACACACACACACACACACACACACACACACAACACACACACACAACACACACACACACATAACAGAAAGAGAGAGAGAGAGAGAAAAAAAGAAAAAAGTGTGTATGTGCGAGTGTTTCGTTTTATGTGTGTGTCTGTGTCCATGTATGGTGTGTGTATGTGTGTGGTGTGTTTGTGTGTCTGGTGTGTGTGTGTCTGGTTAATTTGATGACAGCTTGTCTTGATAAATTCTAGAACTCTTTAATGAAAGAAAAACTATTCATTCATTCGTTCGTTCGTTCATTCATTCATCCCTTTAATATATTAAAACTCTTCGCATTCCTTTAACATGTGCAAAGAAACGTTTCAATGAATAAGTGAGTGAGTAAAAAGAATAAAGGAATGAATGAAGGAATGAAAAAAATTAAAGATTGATTGGATGAATAATGAATAGAACATATATATATATATATATATATATATATATATATATATACATTTATATAAATATTTCAGAAGTAGCGTGTTTTAGCATCATTAACATTGATAAATATTAAAATAAATGTCTGTGCGTATGTGCGTGTGTATGTTTGTCTATGTGTGTACGCGTGTGTGTGCGTGCGTGTGCCTATAATGTGTATCCGTGTGGTTTTGCGTATTTATGTGTTTGCTAGTGTTTCTACTTTTTTGTGTAAATTGTTGTTTAACGATGTTGTAATTTTCAGTCAGAATTAAATTTTGTGCATGTGTCTGCGTGTTTGTGGATGCGTGAATGTATGTTTATCTGTGTGTGTGTGCGTGTATGTGTGTATGTATTTGTGTGTGCGTGCGTGTGTGTGTGTGTTTGAATTTAATAGTATGAAATGAAAGGAGCTCGAGCGCATGCGGTGTCACGTTCAACAATTATGAACATGAGTTCCGTCGGTTCAAATGTGCTATTAATCTGTGATGTGATGATGTGATGTTGTGGTGATGTTGTGGTGATGTTGTGGTGATGTTAATGTGATGTTGTGGTGATGTTAATGTGATGTTGTGGTAATGTTGTGGTGATGTTTTGGTGATGAAATGTGTGGTGGTGTCATGTAGTGATGTGATTTGATGGGGGTGTGAGGATGTGATGTGTGAGGATATGATGATGAGTGAGTTGATGTGAGGTGATGTCATTTAGTGGTGTGATTTGATGGGGCTTGATGTGCTGATACAGCGCAATAATGATTGGTATATTGTCATAATGTCATGTAATGTAATGTAATGTAATGTGATATGATATGATGATGTGAGGTAATTCGATATGATGCAATGCGATGTTACACATACGATAGATGTTATCTAATGATGCGATTTGATGTGATACGAAACTACTGCAATGTGATGTGACTGATTGATGTTAAGTTACCTGTTATGTCAAGTTTTGCAATTTAAAATTTGCGTTGTTTTAAGTTTCTACTGTTGTTGTTGTTGTTGTTGTGTGTGTGTGTGTGTGTTTACGTTTATATTGTACTTTAATTAAGCGATTACTGATTGGAAGACACCGTCATAACGTGAAATATTTCATTGCATCGAAGGAGTGATATTTTTGAAATGTTACACGCTGTGATGTGATTGAGACCGCGTTGATGTGAGGACGCAATGTGATTGATGTAATGGGATTGATGTGACTGATGTCGTGAGATTAAAATGACGGGCTTGACTGACGTTGAACTATTATAAGACATTACGCAAAAAGAATGAGATGCAACGGAAATGAAATGAATTTTTTCGTATCACTTTTCTAATCATACAGCGTTGATAACACTTAACTTCGCCCATCCAATATCACAGTTTTTTTTATCTTCTGTTTGAAATTCAATCTTGTAGCAATTATGACGAGACAACATTGTTTAATATAAAGAATGTAATAATAATAATAATAATAATAATAATAATAATAATGATGATGATGATAATAATGTTGATGCGTTTTGTTGATGTAATAATGTTTTGGCGAAACGCAAGGTGACGATGATATCATTATGTTTAGTCGATTGGTTATGTAATGTGACGTGATGATATGTAATGTTAATTTTAAATATTACATCAACTCACATCACCATTATTAATGTCACGCCATATTTTTGAAATTATTTGCGCTTTCCCCCCCCCCCCCAAAAAAAAAACTATAGAAATTGATTGAATCGTCAATTGACTTTGTACGTTTCGTTTCTTTAGTGTCATTTTAATAGCATAGATGTTTAAAATGTTGACAATAAGGATGACAGTTATTACGATGATGATGACGATGACTATGATGATGACATCAACTTCGTCATTGGCGTTCGTATGTTGCATACAATGACCTTAAAGGATATTAAGGCTCATGACTGCACCAACTTAACGCTCTTTATAGACCGGTTATTATGTTTATAAGGTGATCTATCATAATTTGTGTGTGTGTGTGTGTGTGTGTGTGTGTGTGTGTGTTTGAAATTTATTTAAATATGTAATGTGGAAGAACGTTTGTAGCAACTTGCTTCTCTTATATTAATATATTAAAGTACCCATGCGGGCCTACATTGGGCTATGTATAGGATGGCTGGTTAACGCAGCTTTTTAGAAATAAATTAATTTATTGAAATTTAAAAAACAGTAACATTGAGATGGTCTGAAATGTTGACGAGAAAATAAAGAAAAGACCATTTTTAACGCTAGCGTAACATTATCATCATTACACCAACTGTATCAATTGCAACAACAATAACAACAACACCAACGATTCGTCATTGTGTTGTAACGAGATTAACGCAGAGCGTTTAATTATTAACTTTTAAGATTCGCTGCGTGGTACTTGGCGACACGCAAGCAATCGCCCGCACGCATACAACAACGCACGCACGTATATAGTCAAACATAAACACATGCACGCACAAAATTGCACAAAAATTGAAATTATGTCAAATTATGTCATTGACTTTTGAATGATATGATCACTATCATGCCATTATCATTATCATTGTTATCATCATCATTATCATCATCCATATCAACAACAACATCAACATTATCATCATCATTATCACCATAATCACCATACCATCATCACCACCAACAACAACATCAACATAATCATCATCATCATCGTCAACGCCATCATCATCATCATCAACAACACCATCATCATCATCACTACCACCAGATTCCTTGATAGCAGAGCACGCTGGGGGTTGCTTTCCCCCAGAGGCCACCCTCTACCGACCAGATTGGTCAGCAGTCAGCATGCGTGACCTTCAGATCGGTGACCTTGTCTGGACTTTCGACGGTGACGTAATCAAAACGCCGCCGCCATTTTTGTCGCTGCGGTGGACGCCACCCTGGCTGTTGAAATTATTGCAATGGCCGTTATCGCTGTTGTCATCTTCTTCACCGTCGCGATCATCATCATCATTTTCTCACTCATTATCGTCCTCATCATCATCGTCATCGTCGTCGTCATTAAGTGCTGGTAGGTTAGTACTGACAGAAGTTATTGCCTTCTTACATAAAGATCCAAACCTAGAGATGGAATTTGTTGAAGTAAAAGTTGGCAACAATCTTGATAATAATGACGATGGCAATGATAATAATGATGATAGTTTTGATGGTTATGATAATCATTATCATCACTTACATTCGAGACAACAACAACAAAAACAACCACAACAGCAGCAACAACAACAACAGCAGCAACAACAACAACAACAACATCATCATCTAATAACCCTAACTGATAACCATTTAATATTTTTAAACCGTCATCATCATCATCATTATCAGCATCATCATCATTTCAAAATGAAGAAGAAACCTAATGATGACGATTCTCGTCACATATCTGATGAAAGTGACAAGAATGATGGTGTTTCAGTTGATAATGACGATTACAATAGTGATAAAAGCAACATCATCACATCATTTGCTGCTTATCTAAACACAGCAAACGATTTTCTTTTCATCGTAACTCCACCACCCTCATCATCACCGACACCAACTCAACCACCACCATCATCATCAACACCCCCCTCAACGTCATCATCATCAACATCGTCACACCACTTAACCTCTTCAACCGACACAATCGTAGAACCGACAAAAATCGTCGGTATATCGAAAACTCGACATCGCGGTATATACGCTCCGCTGACGACACACGGTACCATGTTAGTGAACGGTATTTGGGTGTCTTGCTACGCCACATACAATAACCACCACCTGGCTCACATGTCGTTGGCGCCTCTGCGATGGTGGCTGAGTGTGGCTGGTGTGGTGAAGGGTGCGGTTGGAACTGCCTTGGAGGTAGTTGGTGGGTTTGCTGGGTGGGTTCAATGGTGGATTAGTGGTAAGAGTGGTTTTTACCATGCTAGACAAAATTATGGTGTCTATAGAGATGATGATGATAACATCAACAAGAACATCAACATTGGTGATAATAATGTTAACAACAACAATAACGATGATAGTATCAAGGAATTTAATGTTATTGGCAGTATAGATGATGATGAGAACAATAGTATTAACAACAATATAAATAACGACAATAAAATTAACTGTTCGTCCTTATTAAAACTTAACAACAACAACAATTACTACTACAAGAACAACATCCACAATAATAATAATAATAATAACAGCAACAATAACAACAACAATAACAATAATAGTAATAATAACATCAGCAAATTTCTTGTGAACGTTTATTCGGCACATAGCGGATGCGCCTGCGATCTTAACTACACTGCTACCAACAATAACAACAACAATTACAACAACTACAACAACAACAATAACAATAATAAAAATATTAATAATAATAATAATAATCGAATTATTAACGATAATTTAAGCGATAATGCTAATGCAGTCAGTCATGTCAGTCATTGTCATTACAATAACAAATTTTACGACAAAACTTGCGACAGTATCGATAGTGAAAAGTTTGACAATAACAATAACATCAACAATAATAATAACAACAACGAAAACAACAACAATGACAACAGATATTACTTTTGCAGAGACAAAAACAGTTATTTCATCTGCAAAGACAACAACAACAACAACATAATAGACAACAACAACATCAACAACAATATAATAAACAACAACAACATCAACGACATCAACAACATAATAGACAACAACATTAACAACAACATCAACAACAACAACAACGAAAACAGCGGCAATGACAACAAATACTACTATTGCAGAGACGAAAACAGTTATTTCATCTGCAAAGACAACAACAACAACATAA